GGCAGCAAAACAGGACAAAAATCAAAATCGCGTCCTGTCCTGTGCTCATCTCTGGATCACACTAATTATTGATTTAACTAATCAGTTTAAAATATAAATGCTTTCGATGCTATCGATCGCTTTCAATGATGATTCAAGTCGAACTGCTTTAAACAATAAACTTCTTGATCGTGAAATAGCTCGAAATTCTAAAGATAAATTATGTTCATTATAAAAAATTTTTTAGAACCTTTACAATTTAGCATTATAATATCATACTGTTTCCACGCTTTCATTTGGTACAAAATTCATTATGATTACCATTTGTTACTGTAGAGTTAACCCCTCCCCCACCTCCCTGGAAAAACATTTTGACGCACTCTGTACAAAAGGTAATAACGACACGTGATCACTGCATATAGGACGAAGAACGAGAATAAGTTGATGACAGACTCTTGTATTTGCTTACGAGCATGTGTTTCATTAATGTAAGGGAGCCGGTTGATGTCACTTACTTTTTCTCTTCGTACATTAATTGCAAGTAACCTTCGTGACGAACACGACGAGAAGAAATCATTACCTATAGGCTCTTTCATCTCTCTGCCTATATGCTCGCTTATTTCTTTTTTTTTGTACACGGTGAAAGAAAGTAGCTCTATGCATCAGTAACCACAGCAGTGAAGAGGAGATAAAAACGTGCGCTCGTCTCAATTCAAATCAGTTCTTTCTGCGTTTAGTTAGAATCACAACTACTGTATTCACGCATTTTTTTCGATTACGACGGTGCTTGGACTTGGATATCAATTTAACTGTAACTACTACTAAACTTATTGTATTCAGTCTGCGCTATTAAGGTAATTTCTTCTCACACCAGAGTTTGATGCCCTTCAATAAAAAACCTAGGTGGGGTGTGGAACATTAAAAAAGTTTCGTGGATTGAAATGAATTCGAAATCTTTTTTGGCTTCATAAAAACATACTATACTTTTTTAACGTATTTTTAAAAGTGTATGAAATCTTTTTATGTTTTGGAGGTTCGTACAATGTTTAAGAGTTTTGATTTCGTTCCAATCTTTGAATTTTCGTAACGTACCTACGTTTCTTCATTATGAAGGAACTGCAATTCTAGGTTTCATTGTATATCCGATCTTGTGATTGGGAAAAGCTTAACAGCTTACGGACGAGCTAAGAATAACGAGTGTGTGGGTTTAGATGTCAGCATTAGTGTAAAGAAGATTTTCATACGCACACCCACACCCACCCGATTCCATCACTGATAAGCAAATACTTTACTTACTGTGATATTTACTTTTAAAAAAAGTAAACTGAGTGTGCCACCGTTAGGTAAGGAATAGGGGGCAGATTCTAAGGGGAAATTTGTCGCGCGTAATTTTGCTTTACTTGACCGTCACATTTGTACACTTTCTTGACTGATTTCCATTTTTTATTTTTATTTTTTCGTATGTACAGTTATAGCGTCGAGAGAATGCAATTCCGAGAATTCACAAGGCAATTGAGAGATCACATAATACGCTCACTGCTATTTTTTTTGATCAAAAGTATGGATCAGTTGTTTTCACAGTATTTATAGCCTAAGAAGTGTCTTAACGGTTGACACTACCCGAAGTCAAAATGGTTGAACTACGTCCGATATATAGACAAAATACTACACACTGGAATTTGTATATGGTCTTATTTGGGAAACAGGGTTCGAAATCAAATTTTCTGCCGTCAGGTCTCAGCAAGACAACCGAAGAGTCCTATAATTTGGATTTGAGTATAGCTCAATTTAGTCTTACGCTTGAGATGCGAAAATAGAAAATCGATCGCATTTGGCTAGCAGAACATGGTTGTACTCATGGTTCCTATTCTCGAATGGTAAGACAGAAAACGACTTCTACTTTTCGACAAGAGCAAAATCCGAAAATGTGACCGATCGATAAATTGCAGAGCTTGAAATTCTCTATCGAACCATGTATACAAAATATATTTATCACTCTATTGATATTATTAAAACACTATTGAAAGCTTTTCGAGGGCAAAAACAGGCTGTCTTTTTCAGAGTATTGATCAATAAATGATATGATAGAGTCCTTCTTTGAAGTCCATTCAGTACGTGTTAAATAGCGGAAGAAATCCTCTATCGATTCATATATAGAAAGTTGTCTTTCTCGTATTTCATGTTCGAAATCAGCCAAATACTAGGCACACCTGGAGGCAAAAGTTTCGTCAAAAAATCAGTTTTATGGTCCCTATAACTCGGACCAAGTACACTCAAATAACGTCAAAATTGGAGAGTATATGTAAAAGATGTTCTCTATCGAATGAGTCTATTGAATCGAAAACGTGTGGATGAGCATCTATCTCCTTGATTAGCGCGCGACCGAAATTATTCAAAATTTTAGCCAAAAATGGGGTTTCAACTAAAAAGCCATGTTGAATGTGAAAGTTCAGACATCTGACTGTTGCACCATACATTTATCTCAATATCGATATTTCTTACGAAAATAGCCTTTTTTACCGGGAGGGGAGAGGGCTTCATCACAAAGTGTGACTATCAAACAGTGTATCGGTTTGAATCCACAACTGTTAAATCAGAAACAATCACGCTCAATTGGCTACTCTTTTCATGCTCTTAGCTTTGAATATTGCTAATAAGCAGCACTCATGAATCCTATATACATATATGTAAGAGACAATATGATATTTCTCAATCCATACACACACTGTTTACCGTTTGCATTCGCCTATTCATCAGAGCAGTATGTGAAGAGGACAATACGGTGAATATGGAGGTGGCGACATCCTAGGTTAAATACCAAACGCCGATCAGAGGTGTTTGGACGGAACTAAAATGAAACATCTGACGCTTCTAGATACATTTTCTGGAAGAAAACTGGAGAAAAAGTATTTAGAAGCGCCAAATGTTTCCTTTAACACGTATTCAAACGCATCTATACACGAACACAGTAAACGCGATTCATGTTTTACCGCTCTTAAACGAATCTATTTACTTTTTTAATGCGTTTAGTCTCATTTCTTTCGAAAGAGTACGTTCCAACGTACTAAATTCTTGCTGACAAATGCGTTTCAAGTGCAGGAAGAAGCGCGTTTTTAGACGCGTTGGTACCCAAAAATATTTTCATGGGATGTTTTGAGGCCTATCGGATTTTTGAACAAATCATAATAATTCAGGTTCAATAAGAGTTACGTCTTGTTTTAAGTATACCGGTCACAGTCTAGGAATTCGCTCATGGTGTCTACATCGCTTTCACTTTTCATATTGGTTTATGGACTTGAACACTCCTTCGCAAAGCGTACTTTTCTCAATAAATCTTGTGATAGATAAGAAACAGGAAAACGGTACACCAAGAATTGCATAGACAAGAAGTGGGCATGAAAATAACATTTTCTATTATCGAAACAATACTCATCTAATTTCTTATTTTAACAGTAGCGAAAATATTTTGTAATTGACAATGCTAGAAAAGAAAGACTATCGAAAATGACTGAGTTTACTTTTGCAGAAAAACTGCAAAAGTAAATTCTGTATAGACTATCTTTATGATGGATATAACTGACATTGTGAAATTACATTGGCACTATTATATAGTGACATATATAACACAACTATTGAATGTTTTTCGTTCTTCGTATGGTATACATATAGGCTGTTTATAACAAGCGAACTATTGTTTTTTACTATACGATGACATCATTATACATTCTTTTTCTTTTATCTCCCATCTATATGAGATAGATCGAAAGTAGCTTGCAAAAGTGAATTCTGTCATTTTTGATAGTCTTTCTTTTCTGGCATTGTCAATTACAAAAAAAATTTTCGCTGCTATTAAAATAAGAAATTTGATATTTCCATATTAAGTCGTTCATTTACTTATATATATAATACCTATCTAAATTTGTTTTCGACTTCAGTGTTTTTTGGTTCTCAAAACAAGATTAGTGCAAGTCGGACTAAACAGATTAATAAAGAAAAAATTTTTAACTGTATGAAAAAACATATAATGATATGCAACGAGATATGATTGTTGGAAAATAAATCAACAATTGATTTAATTCATATATTTATGTTTATATTGGTAAGCTCTAATGTTATTTGCTTTTGCTTTTTTATTGTTCTCTTGCTTAGTATGATGACAAGCATTACAACAAATGAAATTTCAAATAGAGAGACAACAAATTGATATAAATATTGATAATAAAATAAATACATGAATTCAATATTTAACAATTTAACAATTTATATCATTAATAGATGTACGTTGAAATGTTACAGGTGGTACAAAAAACTTGATCTCAATATGTTATTTTCTTTACACATGAACAACTGCAATAATACAACATCAAAATAAATAAGAAATAAATAAATTTAATATTGAACAAAAATTTGATTTAATATCATCAATTACAAATAGTTCTGAAGATGGTCTTTCTACGACCGAAAATTCAACACAAATAAAACAAATATATATAACATTATTTTTTCAATATTTACATCAATTTGTTGTCTCTCTATTTGAAATTCCATTTGTTGTAATGCTTGTTATTATACTAAGCAAGAGAACAATAAAAAAGCAAAAGCAAATAACATTAGAGCTTACCAATATAAACATAAATATATGAATTAAATCAATTGTTGACTTATTTTCCAACAATCATATCTCGTTGCATATCATTATATGTTTTTTCATATAATTAAAATTTTTTTCTTTAAAATGTTAACTAAAAAATTCATGTTAGAAAATTATTATTTTAAACAGATAACTAATACCCCATGTTAGGAAACTTTCCGTTTTCACAGTGAAACTGACGGAAAGACTTTCCATTCAATGAATTTTTCCAGAGCTTGCATAACAGAAGCTTGTCTCTGCTTCTACAACGTATGTTACTTCGTGACTGTCTTGCTGTGTAGCAGAACAGGAAAGTTTTCTTACTTTCAGCATCAAACATATCAAAACGATTAGCAAAACTCATTCTTTCTTGTTGGTTCCTTTAGATTCTATGGATCACACATACGGCATCAGACTTGGACAAAATCCAAATACCTGGAGTCCATATCCAACAGGTACTCCTGGTATCAAGCTTGGACAAAATCCCAATACCTGGAGTCCGTATCCAATAGGTGCTCCTGATATCAAGCTTGGAGAAAATCCAAATACCTGGAGTCCATATCCAATAGGTGCTCCTGGTATCAGGCTTGGAGAAAATCCAAATACCTGGAGTCCGTATCCAATAGGTGCTCCTGATATCAAGCTTGGAGAAAATCCAAATACCTGGAGTCCATATCCAATAGGTACTCCTGGTATCAGGCTTGGAGAAAATCCAAATACCTGGAGTCCATATCCAATAGGTACTCCTGGTATCAGGCTTGGAGAAAATCCAAATACATGGAGTCCATATCCAAGAGGTGCTCCTGGTGCCGGCGGCGCATATGGTTACAGCTACTTCTGAACTGCAGTGCACAAACTCATCAGCTGAACATTCATAGTTTCTACCTTTATACGCTGTAGATGCTTTCTCTGTTTCCTTTGACAAAGTTTATTTAGCATATCAGTGAGTTTTTATTATCACGTTTAGCTGATAAAATCCAAATACAGTCTGAACAATATTCACTAGTAAGGCAGATTATCATGGATTCACAGGGTATGGGTATGGGTGAAGTGTGGAGGTGTGGGTGTAGCTCTAGAGAAAACCAAGATGAATCTCACCTCCACTTACTCACACATATGTCGAAAGGTAGAAATGCAGAAAATGAAAGTAAATGGAAGTGGAGATCTCCCTCGTCCTCACCTTCACTCTTATGTTCTTGCCTTCCGTCATCATTTCTGTTTCGACTAACGAGGAAACTTTTCCAAGTGTGAGTCTCAGTTTCAAATGGGATATATACCAGCTTGTAGAGCTCGACGAGCTGATTCTTGTGGTATGTTCCGTTTTTGCCCATAGACCTCAAATGAGAAAAATCAATCAATTTTAATAATGCATTTCTTGCCTAGATAAGTTGTAAGATATTTGTTAGGAAATCAAGAGATCAAGGTTATTTGAAGTTCAAATCGTCGTATTAACATAGACAACGACACGTGCAGTATATTTGAGTGCACTTCAATCAAATGTGTTTCACGACTTATTACTGTTAGTGCGGGATAGTGTAATGCTATATTAAACAAATAAGATAACGATAGTTCTTTTCGTTGTATTACTTTGCGCTCATGATACACGTCCCTTATTTTCTCATTCTTTCTAGTATATTCTAATTGGTTCTTTCTCTTTCTGTTCTATGCTTATCGGCTATCAAAAAATTCTGTGACTTTCTAACATTTTCGAGTGAATTCTTCCGCTTTCTTTCGAATCTGTATATATATATATATATATATATATATATATCCGTCATTTGGAAAATACTCCATGATAAATCTTCTGATTAATATTCTCTCAGATTTCACTGCATCAAAACTTATTTCTCTATGACGAACGTCGTTAACATATGTAAACATTTATATGAAAAAGCATTAGAAAGGTCAAGTGTTCATTCAATAAGCACCACAGAAGAAGAGATATCGATCGCAATCAATCTGCTCGATCTATTAGAGGACCTTTCAAACAGTGACAGCTTTACAATAGAGACAGAAGATTCTCTCAAAGTTTCTGATGTCGATCATTTTAACCCGGACTATCCTGTTGAAATCGAAGATGATGAAGAGCAACAAGTAGTCGAAAATCGTCAGTTCAGTTTAGAATACATGCAAAGGGTTGTCGACTTTGCTCGTCCAGGTGTTGCTTTTACAACCGTACAGCATGCTTTTCGACGAGTTAGACATCCTATGCAATTAAAGCGATTTCGAGAATATGTTGCAAATAACGGAAACCGCCGGCAAAAATTGGAGCGTGTAGAGCATTTTGCACTTGATAGATTTCGCTCTGCTCGTAATAACAATTTACCTGTGCATGATCTTGACGTGAAGCGATGGGCTCTATCCCAAGCAAAAATAGAAAATATAGATGGCTTTAAAACAAGTGACTATTGGCTTCTCAATTTCAAAAAACGCAACGGTATATCTTCCAGAAAAGTGACAAAATTCGTTTCTCATCGGGAAGTTGTTGATAAATCTATAATTAAACAGACTGCTGATGATTTTGTCGCTGAAGCAACCAAACATATACCAAAATATAAGCTTGATTTTGTGCTAAATGCCGATCAATCCAGTTTTAATTACGAAATAGCTTCGAACCGTACACTATCTTATGCAGGAGAGAAAGCGACTTATCTATCAGTAAAATCTTTGAATGCTATAAGACATTCCTATACAGTTATGCCGATCATTAGTGCTGCTGGTTAGTTGCTCAGTCCTGTTTTTATTTGTCTTCAGGAACCCACGGGTCGGTTTCCAATTACAAGAGCGGTCTTTTCAGCATCAAATATAATAACTAGTTGCAGTATATCTGGGGAATTAAATAAATTCTTAGTGGAATACTAGATTAAAGAAGTTCTCGATAAAGTAGTCAGCAATCGATTCCTTCTTGTGGTCGATCAATGGTCACCGCAGGCTGACATTACTGTATATGAGAATAACCTGACAAAAGGACAGTCATGTAAATTATTAGTGATACCTAGAAGAGCAACATCAACAAAACGACCGTATGATACTTATTTTTTCGACAATGGAAAGTGTTAACAAAAAGAATATATCATCGTGTATCTCTAGACGAATAAAATGTTGACTTAGGAAGTCGTGACGCTATAATCAAACTACAAAGTCTGGTTCATAATCAACTGAGTTCTTCTTTATTTAAAACAATGATTTCATACACATGGTCAACTTGTGGCTACATTCCTAAACAATACTCGAATTTTTCGAGCGTTATAGACGTCTGTTTTTCTTTTGATGCAGACAGTTGCTCAAATAATAATTGTGAACAGAGTGCATTTATTTGTTGTAGTCATTGTCGACGAATATTGTGTTTCGAACATTTTTTCACCGCGTATCATTTTCATTGATTGTGTTCTTGATATGTTTTCCGAATAAAACGAATGAAACGATAAAATGATAGTCTATGCAACTCGAAACACGAAAATCATAAAGCTTAAACTTCGGAATGTAGAAAAAAGCTTTCTTATGCAACTTCGGTTGGTCAAATCCTATCATGTAAATAATATTGCCATACACAAAAATAACCTTGAGAATGTAAAGAGCACCGTTTCTTTAAATAGTTTTGGATGTGATATGCGAGAATCAGTGGCTCAAAGTACTATAAACAGTTTTTAAAATTGCCTTTCTGTGAGAATGTTGTGCTTAAAAGTTCGATATTTCCAGTGTTATTTTGTACAAATAAAACTTACCAATTTTCTCATTTGAGGTCTATGGGCAAAAACGGAACATACCACAAGAATCAGCTCGTCGAGCTCTACAAACTGGTATATATCCCATTTAAAACTGAGACTCACACTTGGAAATGTTCCCTCGTAAGCTCAAGTTGACCAAATTTATTGTGCAAAACAAACTGAATATATTATAATCTGTAATTTAAATGAGCCAATTAAAAAAAATTCTATTTTAAAAATCTGAGGGTGTGGGTGGGTGTGGGTGTTGGTGTGAGGTGCGCGTGAGGTTGTGCGTAGTATTATTTCTTCACATTCACCCACATCCACACCCTTGCTTCATCAAAATTACAATAAATCGATCGAGCGTTGACGACCAGCAAATGTCTCTAATTTCACCATGATTGAACGGTATCTCTTTCAGAGTAGTCAACTGTTGATCAAGTAAACATAAATTGGATTTGTGATACACGAAGAAACTGTTATCGTTAGTGGCCATTGGTGAGAACCAATCACTTTTCAATGGAATTGATCTATATGAGGGTCGAAGAGGCAAGATAGCTCTGTTCATTGGTCGAAGATGAATGAGATTACCATTGATTGGTAATGGAAGAAGAGTAATTCGACAATGTTCGACTTCGATAAGCTGCATTTCGATCGTTCGAAGACTTTTTGAGATCGAATCGATGATTTCTTTTGTTACGTCTTATTGATTCACCAATAATCGCAGTTGATCGAGTTGTTGTGTCAATTTATTTCTGATTTCGTCTATGTGTTCTCGACACCATTTTTCATAGAAACGGTCGAGTGATTAATGAGTTTCGAGACGCCATTCATTGAGTTGTTTGAGATAAGACGGTTTGATAGATGAAAGTCGAATCGAAAGTTGATTGATCTCGTCGACAAGTGGCAGCATGGGTGGGTGTGGGTGTGGGGTGTAGGTGTGTGTGGGTGTGAGTGAGGGTGTGGGTGTGGATCATCTCTTCATTCACATTCACACCCACACCTACGCTCACATCCACACACCCACACCCGCATACCCACACTCACATACCCACATCCTTCAAGGAAAGGTTCTCAGCCCCTCAAGACAATTGCGAATCCTTCAATTCTTCTACAGAACTTTTCAGAGTTAAGAGGATAATGAATTTTCTCTCACACTCATGTTTGTAGTGCCTTTGCCATCGTCCTTGCCTTCACCCTAACATTTGGGGTGCTTTGCATGGCTCTTGCCTTCACCCTCACATTTGAAGTGCTTTGCATGGCTCTTGCCCTCACCCTCATATTTGGAGTACTCTGTATGGCCCTTACTCTCATCCTTACCTCACCTTTACACTGGGAGTGGTCTCCATAGGCAAAAAAATACTTTCGACGAAAAACAGATATCTATCTGAATTAATTGATGAAATGCTTTATCGGCGAAGTGTCCTATCTAAGAAATATTTTTCGACGAAGTGTTCTGTCGACGAAATGCTTTTCGACGAAATGTTGTGTTGACGAAGTGCCGTGTCGACAAAAAGTTTTCGACGAAATGCATGTCGACGAAAATTTTTCAACCAGCTGCGTTTCGACAAAAATTTTTCGACCAACAACATGATTACCCTTATTACTTAGGAAAAAAATAGATGTTAAATATAAATGACTATTTCTTCCGAACCTTGCGTTTATCTCATCCTTTTGTAGACACAAAAGAAAACGGCGAATGCATCTCGGCACTTCCTTACACATTCTTGAGGAAGTCCCTTCAGAGACTTCTCAGGAAGCTTTTGTTCTTCACTACTCCCTGACTACATCGAAATTCCCTAAAGAATCGCTAGAGAGTCCATCGGGACTCAGCGGAGAGCTCACATATTTTCGGGGACTCCCTGAGGACTTGCTGAGGGACAATGACTTAAGGCCATCTTTGCAAAGAACAGTATCATCTTGGGTGTGGGTGGGGGCGTGAGTCCTAAAGACGAAAACCCACACATCTACCACCACACCGACCGACACTCATACCCAGTCGCCCACACCGACACCCACATACCCACACTCCACATCCACACCCCATATGATAATTTCTCGAGCAGCGATGGATTATGATAATGGCAACCCTGGCTTACCCTAATTTAGTGCGACTCAGCATTGTAGCTGTAGTTATTATACATTTCTCGATATACAATAACAACAGCAGCAGCAAAAAAACAGGTATCCTTGTGCAAATCAATGTTAATCTATTCAGACTTTAAAGAATCTTCTATCGTAATGTATGGAGGATACCGATTATCATACCGTTCGATGATTTCTTTCACAGAAATGCAATCAGGATACTAGCAGCTCTAACTCGCATTACCTTCTGTATAAAAAAGATCAAGAAAGAACTGACTATTTCCATTCTTGTCCTTCTACAAGGCACTGTAGTTTTTACATCAACATTTACTGTTTGCCTTATTGGCTTCTCTCTTCGCTTATTATCTATGAATGATTGATTTTCATCGATAAAATACAACGTCTGTTAATGTAGCCAAAACAATGCTTTTATTTTTCGTTACCAAAAATGAAATTACATATATATAAAAGACAAACTAGTGTTTCCATAGTGATGTTTATTTTTTTAAACTAGATATTTTATTCAAAATGCCGTTCGTGGTCGATTTTTAAGATAGGCAGCAATTTTAGGATGTTTACCAACTTCTTGACGATTAGTTTTCAGCCATAGATATTGGTCAAGTATATTGTTATCTATTTCTAGAACATTTTCTAAAACATCATACACATGCAAATCAGCAAAAGTCAATTGATTGCCGACGAAGAATGAACCACCGTTACTATAAGCCTTGGCCAAGGTTTCAAGATTGCTTAAATGTTTCGGTAATTCGTTAGCGAAAAATTTTTCTATACTTGCTTTTTTCTGTGGTTCTTCTTCATACCAAATAATCGGTCCAAATTTATTGAGAAGATCTGTAGCTGTATCAGCAACGGCTTCAGCTTTTGCTTGCTCCAAATTGTCTTTTCCTGCCAAATGAAACTGTCGAGCAAGAAAACGAGCAACTGTCATCGATTGCGGCAATTTAAAACCATCAATTTCGAGTACTGGCATTTGACCGAGAGGCATTTCAGACTTATGCGATGGCCATTCTCCCTCGGAATATCGTATATCTTCGAACTTTTGCCCAGCAGCAGTTAAAATAAGACGTGGGACTTCACCACGACCACGACCGTCAAAATAGTATAGTCTATAAGTCGACATGACTATGTATGTATATGTGAGCGAATGCAGAAAAGAAGTATAGGCAACGACAATAGTTCGTATTTGAATAAATGCTGCTATTTATACATGGAAGGCAACAACAACGATAAAGAACAAGAGTAAATGTTTGCCAAGTTATCATTTGTCTATCCAACGAGATAAGAACAGCAAAAAGAGAAAGAAAGACCAATCAAGTGACAACACGCACTTTTTCCTTTTCTGTCGAAGTTGTAAACGTGCACTCTAACATAAAATGTGTTGCATTTATATGTCGTGAGTTATTGTGTCGTGCATCCCAGCATAATAATGTGTCGTGCTTAGAATGTGTTGTATAGGGATTTGTCGCGTTCTGTTTGTTCACTATTTATTCACCGTTTTTGTTATGCGCGCACAGCCATATATAAGCAACACGGTTGAATGTGAGAAAGATAAATATTTCCACAATTATTTTTTTTAGATTATTTCTCGATAATTTATTAGTCGAGCAAATGCCACTCTCAATCAATATTCGAGAGAGGATTACCCTGAACCGGTCTGACAGAGATCGGACAAACTCGAGACTGGAAAGATCTCAAGATGTTACCTGCCTGAGTTTCCAGAGCAGAAATAATTATAATGGAATTAAATTTTAAAAAATTCATAGTATACGTTTTCAAAAGAACTAATAAAAAATGTGTCGCATGTGTCGTACGAAATGTGTCGTGCTTTTGCTGGACAAACTGTATCGCAACGAGCACCACGTGTCGTACTTTAATGTGTCGTGCATTGTGTCGTAAATCACGACGCATGCGATGCATTTTAACTTAGTGTGTGGTGAAAGGAAGCAAAAATTGTCTACGTCGCTAGTATTCATGTGAGTCACATAGATGCTAGACATTGGAAGTTGGAAACTTCCAGACAGCTTCTTTGAACTGAGAAATACTTGGCTAGGCTCACTTAACCCATTGGGCCCGATAGGGTCCACCGGTGGATCCCACTATATTTTAACAAGGAACTTAATAGAAAACGCTTTCTTTTCTTTTATTCTTAGGCGGAAGGTTACACATAATGTGCGATCTGCTTTGCCTTCGCTATTTTCAAAATCATTTGTTACATAGCATAATGCTTCTCGTTAAAACAATCAAGACAAAAAAATTTGTTACAATCAGAACAGAAAGTTTTTATTCTCTTTGTTGTTGAATGACACGCTTCTCTTGATTGTTGTTCCCTGTTTTTCTCGTAACAACCAACACAGCGTCTTCGGACATTGCAGTCAGATCCTTTCTTTTCTTCGAGCTTGTGATCAGCTAGTTTGCGCGTCAAATGGCTGGTTGATTGTTGTCTCGGACCAGGTTTCAGCTTCTCGAATGGCATACCAAGAAGTAAAGATCGTACAAGACTTTCACGAAACTCCAGAATGGTCACTTTGCTTGCCGTGTAGTTTTCCTTGTATATCAAATAGCTATTTACTAGTGCCGTCCCAAAAACTAATTCAAATGCTACCTTTCGGTACCACTTTATCGACCGCCTGAGACACGTGTAATAGGATGATAGCTGATCAGATAAATCACTACCTAATCTTCCTTCATTGTAATCGAGTACAACTTGTGGCTTCATGATGCGTTCATTTTTACTATTGGTATTTCCAGTATCCACAACAGTTGCTGAATGCGACGGTCTTGTGGATACCATCAAGACATCTTTTTTGTCTTTCCACATAATCAGTTTTACGCCGTCTTTATTCTGCAGTCCGTAAGCTTCGCCACGTCTAAGATTTTTTTTGAACAACTTCGCTGTCTGATCCCGCACGATTACTTCTCAGTGTTCCAATAAGATACGTATCACCTTCTAACAAACATTTTGCAAGAGGAATACTCGTAAAGAAGTTGTCAGCTACCACGGTTCGATAACATCCCTCAGGACCATCCAATAGATTCATCACGACTGTTTGGGCATGTCCAAGACCTGCCATAGGATCTTGTTGACCAGTATAGATCACAAAATTCCAGGTGTATCCATTGGTAGCCGCTAACTTGTACATTTTTACGCCGTACTTGTGCGCTTTTCCTGGAATATATTGTTTGAAGAAAAGCCTGCCTTCCTATAGTATCATAGTTTCGTCGGTAGTCACAACCGAACTAGGTATATATACTGACAAAAATCTGACTCTCAATTAATTCAAGAGTGGTTTCAACTTGGAAAGCCTATCTTGATTCGAATTTTTGTTATCATTGTTCGAAAAATGCCAAAATTTGAGGAGTAATTCGAATCTCTCCCTCGACATAGCATTTCGAATGATGTCTGAACCATACAACTGACTACTGCTTCAGTAGTACTTTAGTTTTGGCATTTGTACCAACCCCATTTCGATAATGATTCCAAAGAACTTCAGCATCTCTTCATTAGTGGTTGGTTTCCATTGATGAAGTATTCACCGTCTACTAATCTCATGGTTTTGCAAGTATTGCTGCGCGTATCAATAAGTTTCACGAACTATGAGATCAATAATTTCGTCCGTTATGAAATGCCGATAGCAATCGATAGGATTGATTGTATTATCGTCTGAAATAGAAGTTACTTCTTCGATGAGTCCGTGATCCTCCAGGAATTCTGCGTCGGATTCTGGTTCTATTTCATTCCAAGTATGTGAATCCTTGTCATCATCGGTACCTTCTTCATTAGAATCGTCAGATTCAAGGTACATTGCATCAAAATCGTCATCCAGAGAGCTCACTTCACCGAGTGAGCTAGCGCTATCTTCTATATCCATTTCTTCAAACGACATGTGAATTATTCCAAAACTCCGGTCGTATTTATATACAAAACGATAGAGAGCAAAGAATAAGGGAGAAAAAGCTGGAAACTTCCTTCTTTTTCTCGGGGATTGACGGAAAACGAAGAAAAAAAAAATGATCGAATAGGAGAATATCGAAAAAAAAACAGACAAATATCGAAAGCAGTATTCAATAAACTAAAAAGAAAGAAAAGGAAAATGTCGAAAGGAAAATATAGAAAATGTAGACTGAGGCAGAACGTCGAAAAAAGAAACATGTGAAAAGAAAATATTGCAAAGAAAACATCGAAGAGAAAATTTAGAAAAAAAAAGATGTCTGCATAGCACGTGACTTTATTTTTTCAACTGTTATTGATCGTTATCAGACGATTCCAATCTCGTCGTCTTCACCGTCTACAGCTATTTATTCTATCATCGGTCTATTTTAATTTTATCATTCTTATGGCCTGGATATATTTATTCTATGATCAGACCATTTCAATCTCGTCGTCCTCACCGTCTATAGCTATTTATTCTATCATCGGTCTATTTTTATTTTGTCGTTCTCATGGTCTGTATCTATTTATTCTATAATAAGACTATTTAAACGTCGTCATTTTCATAGTCTATAGCCATTTATTTTATTTATTCTAAACGTAAATTCGATATACCAATATGATGAAAACATACAACATTCCATACAGTCCTTTGCCCTCAACGATGCAAATTTCAATTTCATTTTTAAAATCCAATAAAGGTAAAACATTACTGTTGTTGAATCAATATTTGTTCAAATGCAATAAAACAACACATTCAAAAAAATATTGGACTTGCATTGAACGTGGATGTGGTGTGTCTGTTCAAACAGACTTGAATGATCAATTTTTACTGATTAATGGTGATCATAATCATGTTGTTAATCCGGATTTAATAGAAGCAAAAGTATTGAAAGAGAAAATGAAACATCGTATTTTAACTGAAACAACATCGTTGACACAGATTTATGATCAGGAAATTGCAAATGCTAAACTGTCTGAAGCTACTGCAGCACAATTTCCAACTGTAATCGAATATCGTACGTATCTTGACAGAGAGAAGTAAATCATATCCTCATATTTGTTTTACTTTGTTTATTAGGTTCTAACATGAGTAAAACTAGACGAAAAATAACACCAGTCATACCAACGTCCTGTGTATTCGAAATTCCAACATCATACCAAGAAACATTATCACAAAAACGTTTTTTGTTGATGGATTTTTTTTTAAAACGTGGGAAGGAGCGCGTGATCGTATATTCAACTAATCAACAACTTCATCTTTTATTCAATAGTGAAGAAATATTTATTGATGGAACGTTTCACGTGGCTCCTGGTGGCTTTGAGCAAGTCTTCTTGATACACGTTCATCACTTTGGTCAGGGTAAGTGGTTGATATTTTATAAAATTGATTAATTTCTTATTCTTTGTTTATAAAAGGTTTGCCGGTTGTGTTCTGTTTAATGCCAAATCGACGAGCAGCAACGTATTCAGAATTATTTCAACGATTAAAACAAGAGGCAACCGCGATGGGCAAACAATTCGAACCCCGCCGTATAATATCTGATTTTGAAGCAGCTTTGATCCCGGTGATTCGACAAGAAGTAAGTTTTTTATTTTCTCTTGAAACTGGAACTCATAATATAGACCTGTCTGTCCTTGTTCTAGTTTCCAACCGCAACACATACGGGATGCATGTTTCACTTTAACCAAAATATTCATCGTAAAATTATGGGTCTGGGATTAGGTACCGATTATGCACAAGATGCTTCAATACGTGAACAGTGCAAGCAATTAATGGCTTTATGTCTAATGCCTATTTCTGAAGTGGAATATCAATTTAAACGTATTCGTACGATTGCATCACCATCATTGGATGATTTATTCACGTACTTTTATCGTCAATGGATAGATGGAAATGTTCCATTGTCAATGTGGAATTTTTATGATCTCAATCATCGAACAAACAATATTTGTGAAGGTAGTTTAAAAAATCTTTAATTACAAGTTGAAAAAATCCATGTGTATTTTTCTTTCATAATAGCTTACAATCGACGATTTGGAACGCGTGTTATGAAAAAACACCCGAATATATGGACTTTTATACAGCTGATCCAGAGTGAAAATGCTCGTTGTGAACATTTAATAATTCAACTTGATGCAGGTGCATCCTCTTCCAAACAATCAACACACACAACAATGTTTCAACATCGATTTGAAACTCTCAAAACAAGATTCAGCAGCAATGAAATTAATGCAAAGATGCTGTTGAATAAGTTGGGATTGTTAATAGGTGGACGCAAAATATGAGATGAACATTTATAAATTTTATCTATTCTTTTTTTTTTATTGTCTTCTATCGTATAATTGAATAAATTCTTCTCATTTAATGTTCATAAAGAAAAGAAAAAAAAACTATTGTTGATATCTAACTTTTCGATATTTTGCATTCGACATTTTCCTCTTTCCTATTATATTCTTTCGACTTCTACATTTTCGATTTTTTCCTATTTACATTTTCTCTTTCGGCATTTTCCTTTTTTTTTTTCGACATTTTCCTTTTCTGCATTTTCCGTTTCGGCGTTTACCACCAAACCCTTTTTCTCGTGCATACTTTGTATAATATGAAAAAGAACGAAAAAATAATCCGAGCGATTATTCAGTTCGGCAGAAAAAAATGACTCATTATGTAGTGATATAAAGAAGAGAACGATAAATAACCGGTAGAAGATAACAAAAAGGTCATTAAGTGTATTTATTAAAAGTTAACTGTCCATGAAACTGAACATCTTGAAAAAATTTTCTAAGAAAACTGAATCGGGTTGAATGGGTTAAAAATGTAGAAACTCTGAATTATTTTGTAATTCATTTTCCTCATAAACTGTTTTAGATGCAAATTGTGGCGGTGTAGTATCATGCACGGATATGTCTCTGCGCGAAAATTTCTGTACACGCAAGTGTCGTGCATGGAAATGTCGGTAGACTAGTTTTTCGATATTTATTCGTAACATGAAAAACTATTATCATCCATATCAGATGACTCAAGGAAAGAAGTCAGTATTTCTTTCTGTTATTCTTCCACAGTCTCATCCAATTTTTGCACCGAAAGAAGCAAAACCTTATTTCGTTCTATATGGCTAAAAGATAACATATCATAGATTTCACGTTCGAAAGACAGTTCATACCATTGTTGATAGAGAATGAATCGTAATTCTTGTCGAAGATGAATTATACATTTCACATCAAACGATATGCGACACCAGAAAATTCGCTTCATTTATCCTAACAATCTGATAACAGACGTCTTGGATAAATTTAGATCGAGGAAACATGAGTTAAGTCATGAATCGAAAGAATCTGGAAACATAGGAAATTGAATCTAACAATGAAATGTCTATTGAGATCAGGAAATATTAACAGATTATCTAGATTCTCAATTAACATAGCGATAAAAGTACAGATGTTTGTGCATACGACACGATTCTTACCAATCTATATTGACCTAAATATGATGGTAAAAAATGTTTTTATTGTTGACATTAAAACGATCATTGATCAATAATTATTCCCAAGTGCAATCTATAATACAATTCATTTGAGATGAATTGTAGAAAAATTAAAATCTAATTTATATTCATCGAAGAATTAAAACTTTTAGTATAAAAGTTGAACATGAACTAGTTTTCTCAATTCGAAAGAAAATCTTCGATACTTACAAAGGTTTCTTGAAATCGGTAAAGCATGCTGAGAGTTGACAATCAAACCATTGTTTCCATGTCTTACGACTTACTTATTTGATCATTTGGAAAATTCGTAGAGTACTAGCGTATTTTTCAACTGTGCTCCCATAGATCAACTCGCAAATTGAAAACTCTGTTTCGTTGTGTAGGATATCCATTTGTTGCAATCTAGAATACTTTCAACTGAATCGAATGTAACCACAACCAAAGTTATGATTATTGGAGCAGGTCTGTCAGGCCTAGAAACTGCTGGTCTTTTACGGCAGAACGGAATTGAGACAATTGTATTAGAAGGACGCAACCGTATAGGTGGTCGAATATGGTCAGTCCGCTCGAAAAATGGTCACATGTTCGACTTAGGGGCAGCTTGGATTCATGGCATCAATGGATCGATTCCAAGTGGCTTGTTAACAACTCCATTGTGGGATCTGACTCAGGTTGCTCAGGTTCGTACACGCGGCACATTGCAAACTGACATGCTTGCTTTTTATCCATCTAACTACAATAGCTTCGATGTGAGCAGCTGGTATCGTGACTATGTGACTTATGTGAGAAACCAAACAAAGACACCAGTGCCAAATGCATCGCTTCAATACTATGCCAATTCCTTTGTAGTTCAAAGAAATATGACAGAACAGCAAACGCATGCCTTCTACAGCTTCCTACATTTTGCTATTGAGAGCTATGAAGGAGCTGAATTGGACACAATCAGTGCCAAAGGTTTCTTCGACGTGACATCACTGCACTATGGTGAAGAACATGTCTTTCAGGAAACCGGCTACGTGGCATTAATTGATTACCTAGCCAAAAGTGCTGGAGATATTCGACTTGGAAAGGTTGTCACAAAAATTAACTATAATCATAATTCAGTTGAAGTTCATACTGCGAACGGAGAAGTTTATCAAGCGCAGTTTGTTCTTGTCACAGTACCATTGGGAGTGTTGAAAGCTAGAAGAATTGAATTCAATCCTCCGCTGCCACAGTGGAAATTGAATGCGATCGATCGATTAGGATTCGGAATCTTGGACAAAGCCGTTTTATTGTGGGACCAAGCCTGGTGGAACTCTACGAACTATTATTTTATGCGAGTTTCACGTAAGCCAACTGAGTTCGGATACTGGGTCAATGTGAATAAATGGCAGGACAAGCCGGCATTGATGTGCTACTTTGTGGGTAAAGAAGCCCATCGACTTGAAACGAACTTTACACAAGCTCAAGTAGTGACAGAACTTCTGCGGACTCTCCAGGAAATGTTTCCAAATCAAACTATTCCTACACCGGTTGACAGCTACATGACTTACTGGAAACAAGATCCATTTTCAAACGGTTCTTACTCTTATGTTTCAGTGCATCAGACCCACGAAGATCCATTATATTTAGCTGAGCCAATTGGTGATAGAGTGTTATTTGCCGGTGAAGCTACAAGCACAGACGCCTACGGTTATGCCCACGGTGCTCTTATGAGTGCGCGACGAGAAGCAACTCGATTAATGTTCGTTTACGAATTGTTACCGAAACGAACCACTTCGGAAGGACTGCGAACTAGTCCACTCGCACTGCTACTGATTATGAGTTTAGTCTCTGTTCAGCTTCTATGACATTAGAAAAGCATTTAGTTGCTTCATTTTTTAATTGAAATCTTATCAAACAAAAGATTCATTTTAAACATAATACACTTCGACTATCCATCTTTCAATGCAAGATGATATCAATCATTAGGAATAGAAACTGTAGTGGCGGAGCCAGGATTTTGAGCTGGGGGAGGCTCAACCCCTCTGAGAGACCTTTGAGCCCCGGTTAGCAAATAAAATACATGGTTTAAAAATTTTCCTGGGAGGGGCTCAAAAGTTTCTGGGAGAGGGGGAGCTGAGCCCCCCCCCCCAGCTCCTCCTGGCTCCGCCACTAAGAAACAGACTTAATTGCAACATTATTACTAGTGATCGATTTTTGATTAAAAATCTTGAAAGTCAGACTTTCTTCACTGATCCATACTATACTAGATATTATTTAGTTGTTGAATGAGTGAAAAATGAAACTTGTGAACAATCGAAAGAACGATATTCTCAAATCATCTCTTTTTCCGTTTTATTACGTAATATCTCTACTTATTGTCAGTGGAAAAGTTGTCACCAACAATCACAATTATTTCTATGAAGAGGCACTGCACGAGAGCCACAACTGACTTTGAGCAACTCAAGATACTAAAATTCTAATCGCGCATTCAGGAGATCCTATATTATTTGAAATCACATCGTTACCTCCAGAAAAAATATTTTTACCCATCCTGTTGAGTATTTTACTTCTTTTTACATTCCTTAAACTTATCAACAACAGCTATTTACAAATAAAAATTTCACAGACAAGTGATTGAATATTTATTTCATTTAGCGGTTGAACTTCGAATACATTGATTTATTCTTTTGATTGATTTCACAAGTTCATCTTTATACAATGCTTTCGGTAAGACAAAAATGACTAATGTTAGCATCGTTGGCAAAGAAGAAATAAAATATGATGCCAGAAAAAGTTGTTTTTGCCATTGAAGTTGAACACATGAGAAAGCAAAAGAAAAGATGAGATGCGATAATTCGAGAAGAATGAGAATAAATGGACTGATAAGAAGTACTTTATACAAAAATAATTGTTCTCGTAAAATCTGTATATAACTCTTCCTATTACTAGATAATAATACTTTACGACGAACTAGATTGATTAGAAATATGAAAATTGAGATGAAATTAATTGCAAAAGGTAGAATCAAATGAAATATATTTGTAATAATTTCATATGTATTTAACCCTATATGAGAAATTTCAATACTACACCAGGAAAAATCTTTACCGTATTGTAAATCGATCACCAAACGACGATGGAATGATTCATGCAATGCGCTAATAATGTTTAAACTTATGATACCGATAATAATAAACTTCGCATAATAAATGCTCTTTTGTTTATTAAATTTCACACTTTTGATACCTACTAGTGTTCTTTTAATAGTTACGCAAGAACTAAGCCAGTCATTGATTGATGGAAGGACTGACAGTAAAAATTCAAGCGAAATATAACAAAATGAGAGAAATGTTTGATTATTTGAGCTCAGATGATCGATCCGTGTTTGTAATAAATAGAAAAATCTTGTACCAAAAACTAAAATTCATAAGTGACTTACAATACAAGTAATAAGTAAATATCGGCGACAACCTGTTTCACATGGTTTTCTCTGAGCAAACGTTAAAATAGAAAATCCATTTGTAATAAATCCAATAAAAACCATAAATACGACTAGAAAAAATGTAAATCGAATGATTGATAATTGTTCAGAGAATGACCGTTCAACAAGGATTTGTTCATCAAGAATAGCATCTAATGAGATTGTATATTTTGTCATAATAAATTGGTATTGATCTCCAATAATAACAACGACGACAAAGACAAGCAAATTCGAATTTTTCCAATTTTTGTATTGATTGGTAACAAAGGTCGTTATTCAAGCATAAGTGATCGTTCGTCGAACAGTTACTGACCGAGGGTGGATGTGGATGCAGTTGAAGGGAATACACCCACCCACACCCACATCCACACCCTCAATGCAGCGTCGTAAATTATAAAATTCCAGTGACAAAGTCTGACCCAAAAGCACTAAGGTCCAAAGTTACAAATTTTTCAATTGCAGGCCTTGGAAAAGCTAACTAGAAATTCTGGTTAATAGAGCAAGTAGTGAACCACTATCATTTTTATTTTTCAAAACTTCAAATCACTTTTGTTTTTGTTTCGTTTTGTGACAGTAGTTGGAGCAAAGTAATGACACGTAATTGAAATCACTTCTTACAAAACGGCGCGAAATCTTGCAAGTTTTGAAATTCACATCGCTATTTATACAAAGAGCACAATCCATATCGAACTAGTGGATAATTCAAATAGACAAAGGGTCTAGCTCAAAAGCAACAAAAGTTCTTAATAATGCAAAGCTAGTTTAGGATGTAAGCCGAGAATTTCGACAGAGTGATATCAAAGTTCTGGATTAGAGATGAAGTATGTACAAGAGAAATATAACTTGCTTGCATGAAAATGATAGTCTTGAATAATACATTGAGAAGTTATTTAGAAGAAGCTTTTCATCAGTTTCAAAAATCCTTATTATGTTTCTTTGCATGTCGCACTATGCACAACAAGACGAAAAATATTGATGACATATTGTAAAATTTATCGCTTTTAGATCGTCTAATGTTGAACCTCTAGTTCTTCTTGGCTATCTTACATATTGAAACGCCATAAAAAGTTTCGCCGAGCATTGAATGATAAAATGTTTCGTTGAAAAACCTCTATGTAAACAGTAGAAAATTGAAAGAGATATTACAATACTTAGAAACTTATGATCTCTCTGAAATCTGTTATAAGAACAATATAAAGTCCTATTATATGATGTAAAGTACTAATACGAATCTGATTGAAATTAATAACCTTTGTTAGTCAGATTTTATTACAGAAAATGAATTTGTTCCGTCATTAGGATCCTGTTTATGTGGAACTATTACAACATTCTTCCATAAAATGTTTTTAGAAAAATTGTATTGACTTTGTTTTTTAAAAGTGAGTTCTGCTTTCTCGCGGGGGCGGGAGGGGGAGTGAGGGAGGGCAGAAAGGTCCATGTCTCCCACTGGATAAAACACTGTCACGAAGTTCCTGGGAAGTCCTTAACTTCTCCAGAGACTCACGACAGAGATTTTCAAAGGATTCTTCTAGGGACTCTCGACTAGGGTAGATTAGGCTTAAATGATAGAATGATCATAAAATAGTATATTTATTACATTTGATTGAATAAACAAAATATTTCTCGATATTGAATTGCTTTTAAGATACTATTTGAATAGTATTTTACAAACGATTGTTTTAATAATGAGAAAATTTAAATAAGGAAAATCATAAATCTTTTGATAAAATAAGTCTAAAATAATCAATGAATCTGGACTATAACTTCAATGTGTACGCTCTATTTCCAGTGTAAACTGTTCGTCTACGATAATGTGATGATTGAATAATTCTTGGTGGTAGGCGAGAAGTTTCTGATGCTCAAAGAAGAATTTCTATTACTGAATTAGGTCTTGTTCGATTAAATATTTGAGGTATTGGACCTTGATATAAAGCATAAAAATTGGGTATTGTCCAATATATCATACATGAAAGACATGATAAAAATTGAAAAGTAAGACCTAATATTCCAATTAATAAAATACTTAAAGCAAATTGAATTCCTTGTTCTTTATTTCTTTTAGTTTTATCAGATAAAGTTGGATGTTTTATATAATGTTAAAGAACATTAACTGATGTTGATATACGAAAAAGACAAAGTAGAATAGTTACAAATGTATATGGAAGTAATAGATGAAATGAAGTATGAGATTTTTCTTTAACAGCAATTAATGTGAAAACACTAACAGCTATTATAAATAAACCAATCGAAATACCTTTTCCAGAACTTGACCGAATTGATTGTTCAAATTTTTTTATTGTTGCTGATAATGTACTTAGATCTACAGATGTTATTCAAACTAAACATAAACTAAGAAAAATAATTAAACGAGCAATACTTTTGTTCACATCTAATTTTCTACGATCACGAAATGAAGAAAAAACACGTTTACCATAATAACTAATGTTATTAACCATTATATTTATAAATAAGATCAAATTATTCTCTTACCGCAATTCAACGACTTGATTATCGCCAAGAATGTTTTGTGCTATTTCAATCATTGACCTTTTTTTTTACGTCTACTTTCTTTCAATCATTCATGCATAACAAAAATCACATATTCTGATAACTATATTTGTGAGAACATCAACACAACTTATCAGATATAAAACATGAAAATATTTTATTCGAATGATCATTTTGCAAGAAATCAAACATATAAACTTTTTTAAATATTTCATTTTAAAAAATTCGCACTGAATGAATAAGTTCGACTGATGAATATAAGATGATTTTGTTTTTACACATAAGTATGGCCAAATATTATTTATAGGATAATTGGTAACACTAAATTATTTCGTATTTGATCGTTTCGAATAAATAAACTTTGGAAAAGAAAGAACGAGTTACATATACATAATTTGTTTTTTTTTTATTTATTTATAATAAATCATGTAAATATGTTTACTTTCGTGATCTAATTGTGAATATAATCATTCGAACTATCATTAACTTTTTCTAAGGTCTTTGCTCTAATAGTCAAATGAGCTATATGTAGTCATATAGGTTTCCATGGCAAAAAAACCGTTAGATATTAGAAAATATTTCTCAAATGAATATTTGCTCAGCTAGTAGAATTGATTTTGAGGCTTTTATTCATCTTTTCGAAAAAGAGCTCTGCATGTGTTCTCATCTGAAATGTGTAAGAGTTAGATTATTAGAAAGAATGCCTGTTGAAGACCGCAAGAAGTTTCAAGATGTTGGGCTTATATTCAACATCAAAATTAGAACATTACGAGACTACTCAAAAGCCTAACAACGATACATACGCAAAGTTCTGTGTAATTTCGATTCAACTTTATACTGATTGGATTTACTTGATTATAATCTTTTATTGAACGTATCCATTATTTTCATAAATATTTTCAAATTATCAATTTTTTTTTGTGCTTTTTTTATGTTTTCATGTCTTTATTATTTAAAAAACATATGTGTTCATTTAAGAAAATCGATTATATTTTCGAATATTTGTAAATTCTATTCATTTAACTATTAATATAATAAAATCCAATTAAAGAAAGAATATTTTTCATAAACTTATTGAATACCAATAAATTTGCTCTGTTCTCTTTAAAATTACAAAATAAATTTGAATTTTACAAAAAAAATTTAAGGCTATTGTCAGTCTTTTTTTGACACTTGCTGCTTCTCGAAGACAGTGCAACCGATCAAGCTGAAATTTTTACAACAGATAGAACATTAAAAACAAAGAGATGAGTGTTCAAGAAAAATAATTTTAAAGAAGTTCTTGCACAGTGTTCTGGAAAACACTGATTTTTCGGAGATCCTCATCCTGATACATAACGACCGCCTTAAAATTTGTCCGATTAGACTGAAATTTTGTTTGTAGATGCCTAACATTATTCCTCAGAGATAAATTTAAGGACTTCCAACAATATCACTTTCTTTTTTTTTATAAGAGAAACACGCCAGGATTCGAATTTGGGTTCTGGGTCTTGGCTTCCAGAATCCGGTGGCACCGAGTAGAAACGTCAAGAATGGAAACGCTCGATTTTACCTCTGGGGACTACTTCCAATTATTAGTAGGAAATTTTCAGCTCGATTGGACAAACTTAGAGGGAGGTCGTAAGTAACCAAGATTTGAAAAATCGCTGTTTTACATAACGCTAAGTAAAATAAAAAAGATTAAATATGATTCTTATAAAAAAAAATTTTTCGATCCAATAATTGCATAAAGAAAAGATATTTAGAGTCGAATAATGTCTCTAGCTGCATATGGCATTTCAGACTATCATGTAGGCTCAACTCGAAATAAGGAAATCTACGAGCTACAAATTTCTATTGGTATAGTGTACAATAAACGATTTTCTTCTATAAACGTAGCTTTATAGAAAAAAAGAGAATTAAATCATGATTAAAAAGAATACTTTAAACCTTTTAATTGACATAAATATTAAATTAAACAAATAAAGAAAATTTCTTTTTAAATTCGAAAAGAAAAGCTGTTAAATGGAATAGTAATAATAAAATTAGTTAATATTCAAAACAGCTTGTATAAGTGGTGCAAAACGTTCTAATGTATCTTTTGATTTGGTTTGTGTAAGAAAAAATTCACGAAAATATTTTGTAAATGATTGAAGTCTTTCAATTTCAGTTAATATTTGTATAAATTTTTTTGAAGTATTCTTTTCACCTAATTTATATACTAAATAATTCCAAGTCAATTTTATATAATGAGATTGAGCTCGATTAACAGCAATTTCATCATTCAAAGCAGGTTCATTTTCACTCATTGATAAACCTTTCGAAAATAATAATATTACAAGAAGAAGATTTAGTAGAACTGAATCTTGTTCAGTTACTTTTGACAAAGAACGAATCATATTCATAAATTTCTCACGAATACCACCTGTTCCATAGCATAATGCAAAAAATTGACGACGTTTTAAAACATCTTCATTTCTTCTATTGATAAATGTTCCTGTTAATGGATTATAATTAAAACATTTTTGTATCATATATAGAGGAAGAAGATTATATTTTGTCAATGTAAATCGATCATCAATATTTAGACTTTCAAATTCGTCAATTTGTTGAAAAAAATGAATTAATTGCAAAGCAGTTTGACTTGCAAACTGTGACCAAGATATTAAAGCTGAATTACGATCAGATGTATCAAATGAACGACATAACAAATTTTGATTTTGAAATATTGATAAATAACTTGTTCTAATACTTTCAATGTCCGACCAATCTTTCATTGATATACTCTCATATGATATATTTTGTTTTTCATCTAAATCGGTTTTATCATCATTAACAGGATTGTCGTCGTCTGTATCCATTAAAAGCTAAAGAAAAATATTTATATTGATTCATTTTGATCTATAGTCGATTTCATTAAAATATGATATTGATAAGCATTATTTAACAGAATTTTTTTTTTCTGTTAATTATGAACAAGAACGATAGCAATTATCAATAGAGAAACATTACAAACCATAAATAATTTACTATTTTCTTTGTGATATTTTTTTCGATGTTCATTTAAAAAGATCTTTGTTTTAAAACATTTTCATCTTAATTCTTATAGAACTCTTTGAGAATTAGAATAATTTCATCAACTTTTGGCTATTTTATACATTTTTCTTTTCTCGAGTTATTTACAGGATTGAAAATATAGTATTGAAGAGATAAACGAAAATGACAGCAAGATAGCGTCATAGTCGAACTGTAACGATATTGTATTACAGTAACTATACATGATTCTATATGTCTCATTAGAGATCATGCATGTGAAAAATATTCATACAATTGATGAAATATTGAAAACGATTTTTTTGTACGAGTTTTCTTGTGTACAAATAAAATCTATGATAGAAAGAAAATAAAAGTAAATAACACTGATTAAATGAGTAAATGATTGATATATGTCCGAAGCCTTAAAATAAAGATTTTAATGCTGGATAAAGATTACTATCGTAACCTTAGGTAGACTTTTGCTTCTATAAGGATTGGTTACTTATTATATGAATTACTTCGCAGTCAACCGATATTCTAATAAATAAAATACAATACATTTTCATATCTAACTTTTCTTATTTTTAATAACTTCTATCTAATTTTTAAAATTGTCAATGAAAAACTTTCATTAACAAATATAACTTACACGATCGATTTCAGAAAGTGATTCTGAAATATATTGATTTGTTGATGAAGAAATCGATTCTGTAGAGGATTGACGTTCATTTACCAATTGTCGATTCCCTTCAAGACGTTCGCGTCGTTTTTGTTTTTCTTCTTCACTCAATATAAAGTCTTTTCTCATACCCATAGCAAAACATTTTTCTAATCGACATCGTTGACATTTACGATAATTATTATGAGATATTGGACATCTATTTTGTCCTGTTCGACAACGAATTTTTTCCTGAACAAAAATTAAATAAAAAAAAAATATAAACAACAAAGATGAAAAATCAAACCAAATTATGTTGAGCATTTCGACGAAAAAATGCTTTACATGATGCACATGTAAGAACATCGTAATTGAAGCCAATAGCATCATCTTCACAAATAACACAAATAAGATTGCTTTCTTTTTTCGACCTTTTTAATACTTTTGATCGACTATATTGACGAGAATCGAGAACTCCTTTGTATATTTGATCATTTGTTGCATTCTAGATTAAGAATTTTTATCATAAATAAAAAATAATATTTCTAACAAAAAAAATACAAACAAGTTCAGAAAATTCAGCAAGAAAAGTGAGATCAAGTAAACCATTGTTATTATTAGATATTGAAGAACTAGTTGAATTGCTTTCATTCAAATCAATGATACGAGTGTTTTCTGTTTTATTCAAACATATTTGATGAATAAGATCTTCATTTGAAGTAATAATTACCATTTTTGTCTGATTACTCGTCGTCATTGTTGTCGTCTTCTTTAATTAATAACGCAAATATTTAGACTGTTACAGATTCTTTTTTTTTTTTGAAATAAATATAAAATGACATGATTATTAGATAAGTTAACAACATGGTTAACTTACACAAACAGAAGAAAGAAAAAGATGTACTTTGTTCTGTAGACGTTTCAATGGCCAGAAAAAGAACAGAAGAAAAGAAAAACGAAATAAATATTTACATGAGTACTTCTATCTCAAGGTAATGAAAAATTATCAGCTTGTATCATTGAATGTGGATATGGGTGTAGGATGTATAGTTCCACGAAATCATCAGTCACACCCACACCCATACCCTCGCAAATTGAAAATTTGAGAAAGGCTTTTTACAGTTTTTTTATAGGATTTGACACGTTAATTTTAAGGTTACTGGGAATTGAAAGTTTGAAACTACAATCTGCCAAAGATTAGTTATAAGAAGAAAACAAAAATTTGAGTTAAGCGGATTATTTTTTCGATAAATTAAAATAATTGATAAAGGCAGTATAAAAGACTACTAAAAGTATTGTTGGTTTCATTAGTATAAATGGGCTACTATATTGATTCATAACACGATAAAAATCAGTAGATTATTGTCCAGATTTGGATGTACATTGTGATAACCAATGATTATACCACTGCATAAATTGGAGCATTAAAGATTCTCGCGGTTGAAGATTCTTGGTATAAGTAAAATCATCACCTCGTTGATAAATCTTAATTTCACCATTTTTATCAGTGATTAAAGGGTGGCCCAGAAGTCCTTACTCGATGTGTATAATAAATTTTTTATATTAAAACACATACTTAAAAAGTTGTCCCTATGATAAAAAGATGCAGTAAAAGACGCTCTACAAAATAGCCTATGACTGATCCTCTCTGATTCATATAGCAAGAAAGTTATAAGCTTAGAAATATGCGTCACAAAAAATAAAAATTAACCGTGAACTCAATCTTAGTATTTTTACCATAAATTTTGTTTCTTAGATTGCCTAGAGCAATACTATTCTTAATAGAGACGCTGTGAAATTCTCTACAAAATCATACATAGACTTTAACTTCAAAACTTCAATCAAGACAAGTAAGCACATTATACAAGAGACACAAAAAATAAAAACTTTCTGAATTTGGCATTTTTTTCGACTTGAACTTTTTCTTTTCCTATTATTCCGATAAAAAAGCGTAGCACAAGTAAGAATTCAATTGAATTTGGCACTTTCAAATATGCTCTTTCTTGTGGTCTATAGAACATTGTTGTGAGAAAAGATGGTATGCTGAAGAACCAACTTTCAAGAATACGTCAAAAATCGACAGCTCATATAAAGCTTTTGTTTCGATGAAGTTATAGGACTTTTACTGGAACTACCAACTTATAGACGAGATTCGTGGTTAATTTTTATTTTTTGTGACGCATATTTCTAAGCTTATAACTTTCTTGCTATATGAATCAGAGAGGATCAGTCATACACTATTTTGTAGAGTGTCTTTTACTGCATCTTTTTATCATAGGGACAACTTTTTAAGTATGTGTTTTAATATAAAATAATTTATTATACAAATCGAGTCAGGACTTCTGGGTCACCCTTTATAATTTTTAATGTTAGTGTTTTCCAATCATTTGTGGTCGAAAGAAGCCAACATTCTTCAGTAATTGCTGAAGCACGACGATTGAAAATGTGAGAAATATCTTTTAACTTATGACAATTCTCTTGAAATATTTTTCTTAATTCTCTTGCCTGTCTACATGCATGTGTCATACCCTGTCCATATGTAGGGTTAAATGTACATATTGCATCACCCAATAGTACATAATTTTGAGGCCACTTTTTACCTAATTGTTCAACACACTTTCGATCATCAATCGCACGACGATATGAAACTAATGGACTACATACTTTTGTTGATTTAAATATTGAATAACATTCTGGATCCAACTTTTCTTTTATCCACTCTAATAAATTTTCATAGGAATCATTTGATGGATATTCGTAATTAACGCATTGAAGCGGAAGTGTTGATAATGTTCCTAACGAATTTTCATCCATTGTCTTTATTTCACGTATTGGAGTTATACCAAATCCTGCATTTTTATCGGGAGCGTTAAGTGCGTAACCAATTATATGCTTTGAATCCAGCGATGGATCTCCAGTTTTAAATCTTTCACCAATAAATGTAACATAACCTAAACCAAAATGTATTTGTATAGTCGGTACAATTAAATTAAAACTTTCTTTTAACCATTTGACTGATGATGTATTTCGACCAGTACAATTAATAATAAAATCACCATACAAATCAATCGATGATGAATCAACATGATGCTTTTATCGATATTTTATACCTTTAACAATATTTAATGATTGATCGACAATTAGTTGCATTGCTCTTGAATTACATTTCCATTCAATTTAATTTTCATATTGTAAACACAATTATTTTCTCATGGCTGTTTCTAATGTAAACCGATCGATATTCAACAAGAGAAAATCTTCGGTTAAATCTTGATTTAATAAGAAACCACTGACAATGAATCTGCAATGGGTTTTAAATGAATACTCATGAACATCATATTCATTTAATAATTTATCTTTTAGTTGGGGAAATAATTCTTGTAATATTTTATGTCCTTCACCTTCGAGCACATGTAAATGATACATTTGACTAATACCTGAACGTCCTAATGATGTTGGACTTCCAAGACGACAACGATAATCTAATAGTTGATTGGGTGTAGATTTCATAAATGTATCACTTACTGATCATACTAAACAGACGTCGAGATCAAAGAAGAAAATGCGGTCGTAAAAGTTTATATTCATTTTTACTTAAAGAATGAGAATTTAAAAACTTCAGATGTCTATAGTTAAATTTTTACTTCTTCTTTGAAATTGAGAGATGAAAACTGGCTATGTCAACCAATGGACTAGATCATATAATGAAAAATTAAAGTTATATTAAAAACTCAGAAATAAATCAATATTCATTCAAGTTACAAGCAGTCATTGAAGGACCCAAATACATCCATAAAATACCGTTATTTTTTAAATATATCTATTAAGGAATTATTTCTAATTGAAATATTATATTCTTAAGGACTATACACTTACACATTTCAAAATCCCTTTTGATAGTCACCAAATAAAGTAAGATTGTTACCATGTTTGTGAACTTCTTATCAAAAGCAGAATATTGCCATTCTGCTCGATATAACAAACTGATCATTGTTCAGTCGCTTTTGAGTTTGGCAAGTACCAACAGATATCAGTTCGAGAATTTCCGGAAAAACCGATGTACGATCCAATAATAAATAATTAAGAGCACACTTATCGCTTTTTGCTACTAAAAGACATTCATCACAGTAAGGTTCAAACTGTTCATAGGATTCTTATTTCAATTGCTCCTTAAAAAAGTCAATACAGACTAACCAAACTCTTATTAACAAAAAAAAGACATTGTATGTAGGATTAAAGATATGTATTTATCAAATCCATTTCCGGTTTTGAAAATAAAACTTGTCAAGAAAAAAGCAGAAAAAAGAGGTATATTGAGTGTTGAATGTGAGAAATGATTGAATTTACTGAAAAGTCAACATATCTGATCTAAACGGAAGTGAATTAATTTTTGGACGTCGTTGATGAGTATTTCACTAATACATCATCAGATTCGATAATTGTTATTCGTTTGAAGTATTTCGTTATATAAGCAGCAGTCACAATTCCTCCGATACTACCTCCCATAATTATGACATGATCGTATTGAGAAACATTTGAAGCAAATTCCGCTGGTTTACTCTGTTTCTTGTAAATTATAAACGAAACTATTCCCAAATTGATTAATATTACAAGCCAAAGCACTATGCAGTTTTTAAGTACCAGATTAAGATTGAAAACCTTTGTCAGTAATGACTTGCGATAATATATACGCTTCTTGGTCCTTTCTAATACAGATAAGTAATATAATGACAGATTAGAGTTATTTGAAACACATACGTACATACATAAAGTGACTCCTTGTATGTAAGTGTAGATATAGAGTCGAGATTTTTTCAAATATCTGGAAGCCGAGATCTGAATTCAATTATTAAACAGTTTATATTTAAATAATGGGGTGGATCGAAAGTTCACGCAGAAAAGATTTGCTCATATTTGGCCCACTTGAAAATATTTCAGACGAGACGAAATCTATGGATTAGAAGCAGAATTTTGTGCTCTTTCTAAATATGAACTTATAAATTTTTTGTCAATTTTTGTTCGAGAATAGTGAAGGAATCTTTGAAAGGCTTAAAAAATTAGTTAGGATAAGAAACTTTTTCGCACTTTTTAATATTTTAACTATTGCAATTCGAAACTAAAACGTAGAATCTTTATTACTCTATCAACTGGTAGATTAAATCTGCCCTAAAAAATGTACTATTTGAGTTTTTTTGATCTTTGGGTAAGACAACTCAATTTTTGTTTTGCCTGCAACCTCATTTTTGAGAAATAGACTTTTTGACCAAAAGATGTTTTACATAAAAAGGAGCTCCTGATAAAATGCGTATAACTTCACTTGTGTAAAAGCTACAGCTTAATTCAATATGACATTTTGTAAAGAAGTGTTGGCTCTACAAAACTATCATGTACGATAACTTTTAGCATCTTCGTAAAGGGACATATATGGATTAGCAAAAACCTGTTTATGAATCACTGCACGAAAGCCACGACTGATCGTGCTCAATCGATAGTCTCAGATTTTGATGAAAGTCATCCCATTTTGTAGAGCAAATTTTTGTTTAGGTATAGAACCAAATTTTTAGACTTAAAGGTTGAACTTTGACTGAGATACGCTCATCCAACTCATAACACCCAAAATAGAGTTTTGTTAATATGAGAAATATTTGATCAATCACTTGTATAGACTATTTTGACAATATCTCATCACCAGCACACGATAGAGCTCTGAATTTTTAATCAGATATACATTTTAGGATGTGGAATACAACCATCATATTCAATAATGTTTATATCTTCAAAAAGTATTACAGAATTTTTTGAAGTTATCCCTGATTACCCTCTATATTAGGATCAAAAATAGCCTATCTTCACGATAGGCTTTCTCTAGATCAGTGTGATAGAATTTGCTGATTCTTTTTTCTCAAAGATTATGAACCTAGTACTACTTAAATATGCAATCAAAACTTCGAGATCTTGAAATTTACCTGGACAAGTGTTAGCACCAAATATCACGATCTTGTTTATGAGTCAATCCACATAAGCCACGACCGGTATCCACAAAAGCTGTTCGATTGAGGTCGTTCAATTTTGCTCAATTGAATATATGTTATAGAGGAAAGAGTTCTAAGAATTTTGACGCAAATCATTTTAAAAAATATTATTCTGTTTTCAAGATATTGAAATTTTTTTGAGGGCACTGTTGTCAGAAAAAGTGTATTTTTTGTCATTTTTTGTGACATCTATGTCTCATCAAGGATACATGCAATTGACTTGAAACTTTTACTGCGAGTAGATGTCATAATTGCGTATTACCGAAAAAAAACACGAGCTCAAATGAGTAAATTATTGAAGAATTGCGCAATATTATCAGATACACGGGAAAATAATCACTTTCCAGTATGTTGTGCATATGCCTATCTTATGAAGGAATCGTGTTAGAGAGTTGAAATATTGGCTCTGGAGAGACCTCATTGAGTACATAGTTTAGTAAACATTTCAGCTTTCTACACAGTTCCTACCGCTTAGAAGATCTCCCACAAAACCATGATTTTGACCAAAATCACCTTTTTAGGAGGATCCGACTTCCACTGCTGACACTTGAATGGAACCCGAGTTGGTGTGGTTTCAAAGTACACATTGAGTACTGCATATTTATGTAACAATTGGAATGGGATCTCAAAGAATGTTCCTAGGAAGCTTACTGAAAAATACCAAAAAAAACCCTATTCTACAGGAAACATACTCATGTTCGCTTAGAAATTACTTGAAAAACTTCATTGTATCAGGTAGATTCTATCTATTGTAAATCAGCATATGATCCTCTATCACGTTCTATAAGAATACCTTTTCAAAACGAAAAAAACTGCTTTTCAAAAAATTCTCGTACCTCCTTTAAGATTTCTGATGGAGAATCTTTCTCTATAAAATCTTCGTACCTTCCTACAGGAACTTTTTGAAAAAAATTCTGTTTCATTCTGAAAGGATATTTTTATGGAAGATGATAGAGCGTCGCATGCTGATTTACGCTAGGAGGAATTTCATCTGATTGGATGAAATTCTTCAAGTAACTTCTAAGCGAACTTGAGTACGTTTCGTGTAGAATAGGGCTCAGATTTTCGTATTTTTCAGTAAGTCTCCTAGGGCCATTCTTTGAGATCCTACCCCGATTGTTATATAACTATGTAGTAAAGCCCTTGACACATTAGAGGACTCGGAGTCTTTTATTATATCCCTAAAAGATGTCAAATTTTTTTCGTGATCTCAAAGACAAATTCTAATTTCAACCCTTTTTTGTCCAATACATCGTTAGTAAACGAGTTTATTTTGTTTCTCCCGGGCTCGTACAATGGAAAAGAAGCGGATAATGTTTTAATGTAAAAAAAAGATAACAATCATTGGTTAAAAGAGTGTTATTAAAACAATATAGACAACATATCCTAAATTTTTTATGCGCTTTATAACGGCACGAATTGTTCTAAAGAATACGATCTATCAGTAGTGACATTTATGTTCTATATAACTACATCCTCGAACAAAAGTCTTTCTCCTTCTTCACTTTTATACTATCATACTTTGCATCAAATTTATTGCCGAGTAAAGATATGGCATAAGAGTTTTATTTCAATTTGGTACAGATCACACTGAAATAAAACTCTTATGTCATATCTTTATTTGGTCATAAATTTTATGCAAAGTATGGTGGTATAGAAACAAAGAGGAGAAAGACTTTTATTCGGAGGATATAAATAACTTAAAAAAAGAAAGTTAAACCTTTTTCAGTTAAAGTTATAAGTTAGTTGCATATGTTGATGATTGGCTCGTATAAATAGAATTGATTTACAATGAAATGTACCACCAACTTAGTTATTAGTTTCTAGCTAATTTGAATGAATGTGGTTGTCTACGAAGCAACAATTTACAGAAAAAGAGCGATTGAATAAATATTGAGAGTGATTTTAGAATCTTTTGTGTCTGTTTCGAAAAGCAACTTGACATCTTTATGCGAGGGTGTGGGCATGGGAAGAGAGGAGGGCATGGTATATTCCGCTTTCCAGGAAATTCAAATTTGGCTGCACATCAAGTGGACGATGATTTACAAGAACGGTGTTAATGTAAAAACATTCAGTGCTTATCTTCATAAACATAGACATACATTGTAGGACTATATGTAAAACTGTTCGCATGGTACTTGGGGGAAAAGATGTGCATGTAAAAGAATTCTGTTATCTCTAGTTTCATTTATTCATGCCACGCATTTTTATGGAGACATAGTATATGATCTGTTAGGGATGGGTTGGGTTGGCTCAAGTGAATGAAGAATATATATCTATAGATGAATATAAAATAGATGAGTTGATTTCGTGTGAGGTTGGGTTGGGTTGGGTTTGGTTGGGATGGGTTAGGTTGGGTTGGAATGGGATGGAATGGGTTGGGTTAAGTGAATGAAGAATATATGTGCATAGATAAATTTAAAACAGATGATGTGATTTCGGGTTGGGTTGGGTACTTGACGCAATCTAACCCAGTCCAACACAACCCAACCCAATCCAACCCATCTCAACCCAATCCAATCCAACCCAATCCAATCCAACGCAACTTAACTCTATCTTAAACTTTAACTTTTTTCTATATTCCTTTTTATTACCTGATTTCGCGGTAATTATCTTTAAAGCATTGAACTAAATTTCCACGAAATTTCTTCTATAGTTATTTTTTTGAATTTCCTGGAAAACGGAATTTACCATCGCATGCTCATAACTCTGCATAACAATACCGGTTTTATTGCAGGATAGTCTCATTAGATAGAGCATTCAATTTTGCGTCGATTCCTATAAGAACGAGCCTATTTAAAAACAATATTGGTGTCTATTATCGGCGCCAAAATATAAGGCAGATGGTTGTGTTTTGAATAAATGAAAAACAGCAAAAGACATCGATCTGCGATTTTCTGTGATGAAAAAACGATATCCTAGACAGCCTACGATGACTTATTTCCATCGCCGAAAACTGTTGATCAATATATTTTGCCGTTTTTGATTTATTCAGAATACAACCACCTGTCTTATATTTTGGCGCCGATAATAGTATGTGTCATTTCATTGTCGCCCAGTGCTATGTAAACTGAAAATCCAGTTCTGCTGATTGGTCTGTCGACAGATAGAGACCCATGAGATTCTATTGAAGTAAATCTTTATATACTAGTCTATAGCATTTTTTAAGAGCTACAAAACCATGTACTTTCCAAACTCTCAAAATACTGGCCACTTGAGACATCCTAAGCACGTCATTCTCTAGACATAATTTTTGGGTGGTATTTAATACATTTCAGTCAGAAAAACTACGGGTTGAGTTAAAACTAATATGATATTTGGGATGGGAGGCCAGAAATTCGATCTGGAACGAAATTCCACTTACTGCTCTTCATAAAAGGAACTTGTTAGCGCAGTCTCCTTGTGGCTAAAATGTGGAACTTACATATCTTAAGCTACATTATGCTGACACAAAATACGAAAAATAAATCGTGGTTGATTTCTAAAAATAATCGATCATCAGACAAGCCATCTGTCTTATTTGTATTCAAATTTTAAATAAAAATTTAAGAATTGCTTTAATCTTTTATTATGTTAACATCTATTTAGAATCTTTATGGTTTGAAATTTTATCAAATAGATTTAGAAAGAAATCTGAATTAGTAAAAAATATCAAATAAAATTTGTGCAAATATTTATTACAGCATATATATAATGTAAATTCGCCTCAATAAAGCGTGCACCATTGTCTTCAGTATACATTTTTAAAACACCGATATGATGCACAATAAGCAGTAAACTATGAAGCTCATTGAATACCGACAGGATTTTGACTACAAATTAGTTGACTTCCATGTCCTCAATGAACAACGAACGTACTCGTTTTTAAGAACAAGCTCAATATAAAGTTTTCATTCTTAAATCGTGGATAGAACTGTGATATTAGGCTAGATTTCACTTCATATCTGCTAGAAAAAAGCTTCTCCTCGAGGCAGTCTATTGTCAATCAAAATACATTCTCAACTATATTGCTGAATACATGAAAGATAGTAGTAAGCTTACAAAGAACATACGAAAAAAAAATAATCTAATATAAAAACTAAACACACCGTATAATTAAAAGCATCAAAGTATATGATCTCACGACTCTTAAAGTTAACGCTTTACCCCCCATAGCAGTTCCAGAAGAGCCGCTGATGAAATAACTTTATAAATAGAGTATTAGCCTGTTGAATATGCCAATGGTGTGGCCTAATGCGCCGAACGTCCTGTTCCTGGAGTAGGGCGGTTTGATTGATGTAAAAATCATGTGGTGGAAAATGGGAATTGAACGACATCATAAGACTTAATTTTTTTTCCTGACCATATTATTGACTGGACAGAAGCAGCATCTGTCTCGTACTGTTAAACTGATAGGAAAAATGCAACGAGCGAACCGATAAAAATTAACATCAAAGAATGCATGCTTTTTTTACACCTATTGTCAAATTTAAGCCTATTTTACTCTGAGCCATTTTGTAATGTCTGAAGGAATTTAATTCATCATAAATACTATTTCGGCTTCTTATGAGTTGAGGTCTATAACGCATATATTAACTTTGTTCTTGATTAGCCTCCATCTGTCTAACAGTGACAACACGGTCAATTGTGTTCCTTAGGATGCCTAGCTCACGAAGTTAGCATGAAGCTTTCGAAACACATCTAATTCAGCAGTGGACTTCTTCATCGATTACTATCACACAGAAATTCCAAAAGACCTCTATCGATTGCGAGTAGAGAACATCTTGTTTATAAAATTTCGAATTTTTGCATTTTTTTCAAAATTATCGATTTTGTAAGTCATATATCTCGAAGGTAGAGCAATGAAACAAAGTATTTTTTTTACTAATCGATAGCTTGTGGAGTTCCCTACAAATAATGTCTTGGGAGTTTTTCAGTCTCATGCTATCTTTATTTTCTCTGATCGTGTCTACAAATGGGTCATATATGACCCATTGGGGGGTAAAGGGTTAACATAGCGTTCCTAACTATGAAAATTTTATTAATGATAGTAGGAAAATTTAATGCACCTTCATCAATTTCGTGATATCTTTTGAAATATTGAAATTCATTAGTTTTTTCCTTGACTAAACTACCGTTAAGTATGATCAATGATCATCTTATATAATTATTTAAAAATTAATGTATCTATTTATGATTTTAAATATAAAACAAACTACTCTATTTTTCTATTTATTTAACGACAAAAAACATCGGATGGAGTAATAACAAGTTGTCCAACACTATTACCAGGTGAAATTTGACAATTTATAATAGAAGAAGGTAAAGAATGATGATAGACAGCTAATTGAACTATTTCATAACTTTCACCTTGAAGAGTAATTATTGTTTGAGTTTTTTCTGGATTAGTAACAATAGAATCGATTCGTTGTTGACTAACAGCTGTCCATTTGTTCCATTCACCAAGAAAAGCATATTTTGTTTTAGCTGAATCATTAAATTCCCATAAAGGTGATACATACCAAAGACATATTGATAAGTCATTACATTGCTTAGCTAAAACATTCAAAGGATTAGTATTATCGAAAGTTGATACAACATTTGCTTTATTATATGACCAAATAATACCAGATTGAGCTTTAATCATTGAAGGATAAATTAAATAATCTCGTTTCATAGCTGATGCAAAAATTATATGAAATGTTTGATTATTTCTAAAAATATAAAATTATACTTAGAAGACTAAAAATAAAAATTAAAAAAAACTTACATTATTGTTCTTGTTGAATAAAGTTCTCCTTGTGAAACACTTTTATAAAAAGCCCAATCAGATATTAATATATTAATCATAGTTAATGGTCGATCTGGTTTTAAAATTAAACCATCTTTACGACAACATTTCATTATACGTTCAATATTTGTATAATTAATTCCATCACCTGAAGCAACAGGTCCTGTTGAAAGAGTTGCAATTAAAATTTCTCGATCTGGTAATATTTCCATAGAAAGTGATGGATAAGGAGAACCATGTTCTAATGATCGAGACCAAAAAACATCTTTAAATGGTGCTAAACCAATTGCATCAGCAAACATACTTGATATTCCAATATTCCATTGAGAAATTATTGGAATAATTAAATGAAGAGCATAATCATTTGATACTCGTGTTTGTGTAACACGTGGAATTTCTAAAGCTTGTAAAATATGACGTGATAAACTCATACAATATTGTATATTTATTCCTAATTTTTCACCTGCTTTACCCATTGACATTAACCAATTATGTCCAATATGAATATCAGTACGTATTGGTAAAAAATCAATTGTTTGATGATTAAGCCAATCTTGTTCATAAAGAATAAGACCCCAATTATATGCTTGATTGAATAAATCAATCCAAAATGAATCATTACCTATAGGTAATGCTTTTTCAGTTTGTTTATCAAGAGCAAAAGAATAATTTTGTTTATAAATAGTATCATATGACCAATATCGATTATGTGCAGCTAAAGGAAGATTTTCTAATCGACGATGAACTATTTCAAGACCATCAGGAAATATATCTGGTCGTGCTGTCCATTGAGAAACACCATCTTTAAGACCTTTATAATACCACCATGAATCTAATTGAATATAATGAAATGGAAGTTGAATTTGATGATAAATATTAATTAAAGTTTCTTCATAATTTATTTCTTTTTCTGTATTATAATAATAATAAGCACCATTATCTGTATAATAACCAAGATAATTAATAGTTAAATCATTAAGACGATATTGATTTGTTCGATTATATGCTTGTTGCATTGTTTTACCCCATTCTCTTATACCTTCATTAATACCTTTTGATGAATAAAATATAATCATTGAATAATTATAATTTTCGGGTATGGATATTATTGAACCTAAAACACCACATTGTAATATATTAGTTGTTTGACTTAATGATGTTACCATAAATTGAGAAAAAGGTGAAAGAATTAATAGATCATTTTCGCCTTGTTGAGTGAAATTAAAAATAACTATTGGACCGCCTTCCATTCCTGAATCAATAACTGCACTTGATGAATCCCAATTACCTGCATGTCTATCAACTTCACCTGTCATCATTCCTAAATGAAAATATTCTGCAAAAATAGAATAATACAAAAACAAAAAAAAAATCTTACCTGAAAATGTGAAATAACCTCTTTGATCATTCTCATCCATTTGTTCGATATAAAATGATGGAAAAACTGTACGAACATGTTCCATATCAAGTGGAATCGTATTAATCATCATTTGATCACCAGTATTCAAATGAAATGTAATTGCAGAAATTGAATTCCATTGACGTATATGACCTACTATTTTTGTATGTATTTCACTTCGAACAAGATCATAGATTAATTGAGTTTCATTCCAAATACCTAAATTTGAATCATTACCTTGTGCATAAGTTATATTAATTAATGATAGAGAATCATCAGCTGATGAATACCACTTGTCATCTGTATATATAGCTGTTTGAGCTGAACGAAGCCATATACGACCATTAACACTAATATTATATCCGCCTTGTTGGTCTACTGATATGTTTATATCACACCAACATCCAACTATAAGAACGAGCAACACGAGAAGATGCATTTTCACCAATTTAGTTCTGAGGCATGGAGCATTGTTGTATGTTTATGTTCTTATCATCTGTAATATTTATCTCACTTCATTTTTTTACTTTGAAATGTGTTTATTTTTCTTTTCGTGGGGCATATATAACTGAGTTGAGAGTGTAAGGATGAGAATTTTTCTTGAAAAAACAATATTAATTTATTCGAGAGATACTATAGAAATTTTTTTTTTGAGCTCATTAAATTAAAAGAAATTCTGTAGAGTGATTGATCCAAATATTTTTTCAAGTTTTTTATTATTATGAATAGCATCGATCTTCATTAATAAAGTGTTTTACTTCATCCAAATTTTTAAAATCTTATTTTTTAAAACCAATTGAAGTATAAAGTTTTTCCTTAATATTACATTGTGTATCAACAACTGTTTTTTTTTAGCTAGACCTGTTTCATATGATAGATAGCGACCAATAGTTAATGATTGAGTTAATTGAGTATTATCAACAAATTCTAAAGTAGAAACTTGACCTATTAACATTTTTAGTTTATGTCCTGACCATTGGAATAAACCAAAACGAATATAATTATAAGAACAATTAACAGCAACTAAAATTAGTCAAATTATTTTAGCATATCTACGTATATCAAAATAATAGTTTTGGAATAATGTAATCTTTACATGTATTGTGTGTCATCAAATAGAAAGATGTGACTCTGCATAGTGGAAGTATAACAAAAAAATAATGGCTCGAAATTCGAATACTGATATAATATCATTACAAAAATACTGGAATAACAAAAGTATGATGTATCGTTTCTCACGAAATATACCTGCAAAAGCTAGCAGATATCAGCAAATACCAGCAGAGGGTGGGTGTGCGCACAGGTGTTAGTCTTGTCTCTAAGTATATCCACACCCCACACTGACACTCATGTCGACGCCGACATCCACATCCATACCCACACCCCCACCCCGCACCCACATCGAAATTAAGAAGACTATCTTTGATTTTCTTAATCTTTTTAAAGTCATCATTATATCACAACGATGCAGAGAGAAAAAAATTTAATTGTTAATTCCGTTGAAGGTCATCAAGAAGTTTTTGATAAGTCATTGTTCTGGAATGATGAAGACCAAACGTGCAGCTAGCAATGTTCACAGCTCGTTCAGCGTGCTTAACAGCTTCTTTATACTGACAGAGATCTTTGAATGTCATTGCCATGTTAGCATTCACGACTGCCAGTGATGTATGATTGGGTGGGAGAAATTTCTGCCAGATTGTAAGAGTTTTCTCATAATATGACAATGCAGTCAAATAATCTCCTTTCAAACGATGCATCTCACCAATGTTATTATAAGCGGTAGCGATTAATGATTGATTGTATGGATGAGGTGTCTCTTTCATTTCAAGTGTCTTTTGATAGTATGAGAGAGCTGTTGAATAATCGTCTGTCGCTTGATATACGAGAGCAATATTGTTGTAAGTATTTACTAGATCTGCATGATTAGGTGGAAGTGATTTCTGTTGGATATCAAGTGCCTTTCTATAATATAAAAGTGCAGACGGATAATTATTCATGGAGTCATACACTGAACCAATATTATTGTAGTTATACGCCAAGCTTGGATGATCGCATGGCAAAGATTTTTGTTCAATTTTAAGTGCTTTTTCATAGTATGAAAGCGCATTTGAATAATCTTCCATTGATTCATGTAATGAACCGATCGCACTGTATGTTCTAGATATAGATGGATGCTCAGAAGGAAAGGAATGCTGCTTAATTTCAAGCGCCTTTTCATAGTATGATAATGCACTTGAGTAATTTCCTAACACATGATGTACTGCAGCAATACAGCTGTAAGTCCTAGCTATTGATGGATGACTGGATTGAAGAGATTTCAGTTCAATTTCAAGCGTCTTCTCATAATATGAAAGTGCCATCGAAGTATCGCCTAACATTCGATAGCCCTCTCCAATATTCTTGTAAGTAGTAGCCAGATTTGGATGATCGGGTGGTAGGGATTTCTGCTGAATTTCAAGTCCTTTTTTATGGCAGACCAATGCAGCGGAGTAATCTCCCATAAAACCATATATTAACCCAATCTGTTCATAAGTAGCAGCTAGGCTTGGATGATTAGATGGAAGATATTTCTGTTCAATTTTGAGTGCCTCTTGATAATACGCAAGTGCAGCTGGATAATTTCCTATGGAATGATGTACTTTTCCAAGGTTATTGTAAGTAATAGCAAATGATGGATCATCTGTAGGAAAAAATGTCTTCTGAATTTCAAGTGCCATTTGATAATAGGAGAGTGCTATCGAATAATTACCTATTGTATCATTTATTTCACCAATATTATTATATGTCGTAATCAGCATGGGATGATTGTGTGGAAGAAATTTCCGATCAACTTCAAGTGTTTTTTGAAAATATAACAATGCATTAGAATTATCTCCTATGCATCGATATGCTACAGCCATGTCGTGATAGATTGCTGGATCGATAACAAATTGTTCATCAGTGCTAGCTATCGAACTTTTCTCACATATTAAGTTGAATATTTCTAATGCTTTATTAAATTTTCCCATCGTAATCATCAATATACCCATACGATGCCATCTGTTTTTTTGTTGATGTTCCCTTCGTATATGATCAGTTAATTGTTTCAATTGTTGATCAATATCACCAGTCAATGTTAGATTCACTTGCCATAAACGATCTTTAATTTTTTTAATTTTACCAATGCGAAAGATAGTATGCATTGAAAAAAGAATTTCTTTTTCTGAATCAGAGTATTGACTGATATTGTCTAATGAAGCAAATGGTACTCTAGCAATCGATGAATCGATTTCAATTTGAAATAAAATTCCTATTAATTGAGGATTATCCCCAGCACTTTCAGCAAAACTATATGAAACATCTTGATCAATGCTTGTTGATAAAAAATTGTTAAAAGAAAGAAGACCATCTTCGTTTTTTTTAATCTTTTCAAAATCATCATTAGACATTCCTTGACCTCGATAAATAATCATCTTTGAAGTTTGATGTGCTTCTGTATGCAGTTGTTCGATTTGTCGATGAAGATCTTGAATGAAAAATCCCATCTTAATAATAACATCGATTTCTTGTGTTCTCAAAGCTTTGTTCAATATTGAATAAATAAAGGATTCTTTTGTATACCACCAAATTGGTGAATAATGTTCGTATAATCGTTCAAAATCATGTATTTTATTTGACTGAGTATTATTATCAGCATAATGAATGCCACAGAAATCAACAAATTCTTTCTTAGCTGCTTTATCATGTTTAATGTCAAGAATAATTTCTTTGAGAATTTGAGAATACATAAATGATTGATCGAGTTCATCGAGATTCGTAAGAGAACTCGTAGGAACAACATTAAGTGATATCAAATTCATCTCGTACTGACGAATATTTCTTCTGAGTACATCACAAATAAGCTCAATTTTGTTAAATATTCCTTTCACATTTTTATTATCATCTATCCATGGTTGATGCTCTGTCGATTGACTACAGATGACATAGATTGAGTGTAGATGAGCAACGTTTCCAATTAGAGATACAATTTGTTGACCAAGTGTATTTGAAATAATCATAAAAACTTTTTCATCTTCGATATCAGTTAGAAAATCAATACATTTGTCAACATCATTAAATATTCTGACTGAATTGACCACCTGTCGAAGGCTAGTAATGGAATTTCTTATGCCTTCAGCAAATTCATTAATGTTTGAATCTAACCAGATAATAATAAAATTCTCGATTATGCGAGGTTGTACCAGTCGCGATGTATTAGCTGTGTTTTCTATGATTTGGTTGACGTTTGTTGAAGATTCGAACAGTGCATCTGCCATGTCGACAATGGTGTTAATTAAGCAGAAAATTTGTATATATTATTCAAATGAAAATGTAATACAAAATTTTGATTTATCTATAAAAAAAATCTATCAACTGAATATTAAATGTAAGATCATTTTTGCATCAATTTATCTATTAGTTCTTATTATCATGTAGTTCTATCAATTTCTCTAAAAATTTCTTTTTTTTTTATTAAATAACTTTGGTCAGAACAGTTCTCATTACTTCGGTCGTTTCTATTTACACCAGGTAATCAAAAGAAAAAAACTAATGCTGTACGATATATAATCAAAATCGTTTCTTTTTTCTTTTCGTACGAGTTTGATATCAGTTAAGAGTTGAAAGAAGCTGATGTTTATTCCGTTATTTTCTTTTATAAAATACTTTTTACACGGATTAAAAAAATAAATTTTGGGATTAACTTTGTCGAACAAAAATATTTTCTTTCTGGAACAGAAATGAAATACAAACTTGACATAACGAACAAAGAACAGAGAGAAAAATATTACACATTAGTCTAATAAAATGTAAGTACAATATAGATAACGTTTTCTCTTTAGTATCAGAAATTCGAATAATTGTGATTTATAAAGATATAAAACAGCACTTCAGTCTAAAATCATTTCACCCTGATTCATGAATAAAAGAACAAGTGTGCTATATGCAAATAAAAACCTATTTGTTAGGAACGTTTAGTTAATAATTACTGTTCGATAACATAGAGAACTTTTTGTTTAACTGTGGTCTTCTATACTTACTTCGCTTTTTCCAACTTCATGTTATTTGTTCTTGTAAATATTTGCTATTTCTTCTCCTGATTGCACAGATGACTTTTTTTTCAGATAACAGAATATTAAGACTATTCAAATCTAATAAATGATATTTCTTTCTCACATAGGCTTTGTTTCTTCTTTAATAATATTCAAAAAAACAAGATTTTAATATATATTCCATGCTCTAAAAGTATCAAGATGAAGTGCAATGGCAGAATTCAACGACATTTATCTCTGTTCAATATTGAATTACCATCTAGGATATTATCGAACAGACGTATCATCCTTTCTTCGATGTGATTCAATTTTCTTCTGAACATTACACATCACGATAGAATGTCATGGCTTCTACGAGGCTGTATTCTTTCTATTCTCTGCATGACGATAGAAATTTCTTTCATTATCACATTTTTGCGTAAGATATTGTACAACTTTCGAGCAGATCCTTCTTTCATCTTGTTTATTCCTCCATCGAGAAGCAGAATATTCCTCTACGAACTGGCAATAAAAATCTCGCTTCAACAGTAATATGTCATAAAGATAGGTGTCCTATATGGATCATTTTGTCAAAGCAGATACTTACTCAAATTTCGATAGAACAACAATAAACTCCAACGAAATATGGAAGTGCTAAAGTATACGTTAATACTATTGTTGCTTACTCTGCACAGTACACATGAAATTGTTGTTCTTTCGAAAAACATTATCAATCATTACTAATGAGTTTTGCCTCACCTGACTGTTGACTCAACGCTGTGTGTTGGAAGTTGGAAAAAAACCAACTAACAACAATCAACAGGGTGCACCGTTCTGTAGTTGTTTGTCGGACTTCTCTGCGCAAACGGAAAGAGAACCTCAAGTGCATCTTATTCGAACACGGTTTTTTGCAGACAGAAGAACAAGACACAAGCCTATACGTCAATTAAGTTTTGTTTCTCCTCTGCAGACAACTACCTCTATTGACAAAAAACATGCTCTAGCCTCGTTACTTACGAAGGAACTCCACTAACTGATTAAAAGATTTTTGAACTTATATCCTGGTCATAAGTAGGACTTAGTAGGGCTAGAGAAACCCCAAAAGGATTTGCTTTCATGAACCTATTTGGTTGAGATATGAACGCTCTAAGTTTATGACTAGAAGCGTAGGTAAACTATTTCTAGTGCCTGTATTACAATATAGTAATATTTCTGTAGAAAGCTCTCCTTATTCTTTTCTTTATACTCATTCTGACGTGAGTGGCGACTACGAATGAAACAAAAAAAACATATCAGTCAAACGAAAATGAAAGATAAAATACAAAAGAGGAGGCATGCAAACGAAATAGCAGATACAAATAAATGAAGAATGTATATGAGAGTGTGGGTGTGGGTGTGGGTATTCTTTTTATCAACACTTACACTCACACTCATATCCACATCTTCAAATACAACAAGCGAACATGAATAAAAATAAGTTTATCTTGATTAAAAACTCTTGAGCAAATTGGTAAAGGTGCAGATAACATGATGTCGAGGTCGGAACTATGTTAAATTTGTTCTATACAGCAATTAATCATACAGTACATTTTAAAATCCTTAGCAGAATTTCTGGGAGTCCAATGAATAGAGTCTTAGATTTATAATATTTTCAATTCATTCAAAGAGATTATTTTTGAAGTGAAACAAAAAGTAGTGCATATTTGTTTATCATCATCATAATATTTTACTTAAATATTCGCGCCGTTTCAATTTTTTTTTTATTACTGACTTCTTGTATATGCCACCGAACAATACTATTTGCTTTGTCCTCAACGAAAGCTCAAATATTTTTATCATCTATTCATTCGATAAATAGGTACTTTAACAGGCATAGTTTTTCGCTCTATCTAAACACAATTTACAATGAATACCAATAGCAGTTGTCTTTTACTTTTATTGTTTCCTGTTTTATTCCTTTTAAAAAGTTCCTTTGAGTGAATTTCAGTGATTCTTATATAATCTTCAAAATTGTCTATTTGGATGTGAATGAACTGAAAAATCACATCAACAATCACATCCATACACCAAATATCGATGTCAACAAATTATAGAACTAAGAATGCGTTGAATAACAATAACAATAAAATTCATTTGTTCAAATAAATTTTTTAATTTACTTGCATCTATGTTTTAGGCTTGATGAGCTTTAAAAATATCAGCATTATCTATGGATAATCATTGACCACGAAATTTAACTTAATGTTAGATATATTTTCTATAGAAAGAAAAAAACCTAAGATGAGAGCACACTTTAATGGATCTTTTTAGTGAATTTAATTGAGTAGATTATTCAAGTAAAATGAAATGTTAATAACTAGACTTCAAAATTTATTTGTGTTTCACCATTAAATTTTATTAAGTGAACATCATTTAAGTTATAAATTGAGATTTAACTTTCCAATGATTCAATATTACTGCTTGAAGTATACAATTCTTTATCTTCAATACTTGTAAGTACTTTGGTACTGGAACTACGACAGAGATTGCAAATAAAGAAATCCTTTGGACCAAAACTAGAGTATCTCGATGAAAACTTTCATGGTACTGAGTGATTTCGCTCATAAATCATATTCATCAAAAAAAAAAAAGATGATATTCGTCAAATGAATCGAGGATATGACCGATGAACCTTCATTAGTTAATTACGTAAAACTTTGTTCTATATGAAAAATATAACATCTTCTGATGTTGATGATTCGGCGGCATTTATCGTATGTTGGAATAACTGCCGTAAACTTATAACTTCTGATACCATTTTTAAAGGAAAAATGCTTGTTGCTAGCATCTAGTAATATTTTTTGATGCATTTTAGAAGGTCATGTTTTCAAAATCGAAATTTGTATAAAACGCGTATTCCTACACAGTCGGATATAGAATTTAATTCTGATGAAAATTCTTTGACTGTTAAGGTGAAGACTATGTAAAAATGATTAGACTGTGTTGAATGAAAGAAACAACAATCACAAAAATCTTATCAAAAAAAGGGCGTTTTAGGTTTTTTTTGGATTTCTACCGTCAAGCTTTTTGCTTGCAGAATTTTGAGAAGAATTCTATAACATATTTGATATTTCAATGAAACTTTTCTCAAGTGTAAGTTTCTGAGAAACTCAGACACCAATGATGGAATGAGGGTGTGGGTTTTGTGGAACAGAAGACCCACATCCATCCACACCCCACACCCACACCCTAGTTAAAAGTAGAACTGAATATATTATTTTTCTTAAAATTGTTATGAGTAAATTTTTAAAAATTTAAAAATAAAAAAAAAACGGAAGCTGTGGATTGGTTTTTATTTAGATAATTTAAATTAAAAAAAAACCATTGAAATTAAGTAGAATAGCTTTTAAGTTTCTGTTTTATATTCGCAAATGAGAAGACACAATTTCTTAGAATACTACATGTTTTGCTCAATAGAAAAAAGGACGAAGTCTGCTAGATCCACTAGAAGCGACTTGCACTTTTACCCATTGTAGCCATTGGTCATCAGAGGACGGTAAATGAAGTTGTTCATTCACAGGAGTTTAGACATCCCAATAGGGTATGAATTTATCATTTAAAAATAGTAAAAACTCACCACCTTGTTTATATGTATTTGCAATGCAGCTTCCACTACGTCCATTTGGTCGAATAAAGTTGTATGGTGAAGAATGATCATTAAAATCATCGTGCTTGCTCAAGTATCCATTAATCCAAAGTGGGTTCGGAATCATTTCATTGTCTTTGATTCGCTCTTCGACTTCGAATTTGAT